CGATAACTCGGATTTCTCGATAAGTCGGACAGCCATGCCCACCCCGTCGTGTCCGACTTATCGAGTTTCACTGTGTACATAGGTCTTGAGACGTAGTTCCAACTCCATACTAGTCGTTACCGTATGTGTCTTATGTAAGATGTTTGCTGTTCCTATTACTGTCAATAAGTCTGTTAAAGTAATGCCTTCTGTTATTGTTGTTGGTAATTGCTTCTTGCATTCGGTCACTCGTTCCCTCAATTGGATTACGTTCAGATTTTCGTCCGATTGGGTTCCATAATCAATCTCAAGGTCTTCTATTGTGTGCCTTCGCCTTGTTTTTAGTTGTGGATTCACCGTTGTTCTGGCATAAACAGAAGTATGTTAGTTACAATCAATTTGGTAAAATTTAATTGTGAATGTCGGAGGCTATGCGATAGACTACTATGCTTGAATTCTGCTTCTCGTATGTAATTGCTTCGTACTGTTTTAATAATGCTGCGACATATTCAAAACTTACTATAGTCTCTGCCATCTTTGACAAGAATCCTAACTGGTCAATGGTTTATTTACATTCTGACACACGTATTACTAAATAGCACACAATTGTACAATCAACCAATCAATTTAAATTGTGAGGCGCACCGGAATATAAGTGCCTGTAATAATTTCCGTTCTTTCAAAAGTCTGACTTGCGAAAGTCATTGGTAAAGAGTCAAATACGCTAGGTCAATTCTCGTCAGGAAAGCAAGTTGTTGTTCTGCACAACTTTACTGGGAAATGTCAGTGCGAGAAGCGGTCTATGACCGTGGTATGTCTTTGTGCTGGCGGTGAGTGACATTAATGGATATGATGTGTATAGTCGCGTTTGAAAATTCACCTTTAGGACATTATTTCGAAAGCTATTAATTGATATAAAGTCAATGTTGTAATCATAGGAGTGAGATTGCGTGCGTTGTATTACAGAGATTGCGTAGTATATCTTCTTGTCTGTTTTTTCCCTTTTCTCTTTTTGAACGCTGTTTTGACGACATGTAGAGAATGATAGGCTTTATTATCTGTTGAAAGGAATATCTATTATCGATTCCGTGTGAGAGAATTTATTGCATTATCTGTTTCAACGTCGGAAGATTTTTGATTAAAATATTTATGTGGCTTTCATTTGCTTGTGAGCTGGGATGTAAAGTATAAAGTACGCGTATGTATCTTGGAGTAAAACGTTTTTGTTACAAAAAATTGTGCAAGCGTGGGCTTTCGGGATTTTTTGTAGTTTTTCGTAATAACAGCAATGTGATTATAATATAATAGATGTGTTCAAGCAATTTCAAATTCAAAAATAAAACTCAAACTACAAGAAATATCTTTCTATAATTTCGCCAACTAATTATATAATTGTTGAATTAATTCAGAGTAATACCGCGTTTTACGTGGGTTGTGCATTTTCATTGCATTTACATACAGACAAACAGAAAAAAAAAATTTTTTTTATGTGTATATTTCTAACGCGCCTACTTATTATTATACAAACCCGGTAAAAAGCATTAACGAGTTTTTTAGTATCAGCATATTACATTTGCAAACCAGAAAACAAAGAGTATGGACTGTTGATGATAAATTCACATTGTTTCTATTAAAGGTTTACCTTTCTCTGCATACAAGTTTAAAACAAACAATTTGGAGGCATTAAATAAACTAAGATGTAAAATTATTGTTGTTCGGTCAAATTGTTTATCATCTATTGCTTGGAAAAAAGTTTTTAATAGATATGTTTTCACAATGTCGCTCAGTAATTCTTCAAAGTGTCGTTAATTAAATCAATTAGAACATACTGATGCCGCATACATTCTTCCGTCATGATCCTCTGGCACGCACTTTTTTGTAATATTAATGTGTTTGCGATAATGTTCACGCCAAGGCATCGATAAAATTAGCATTGGTTTAATTCTTAAGCAAGGCAACTTTACTTGTATTCACGTTTTTGTACCAAAATTAAGTTTTAAGTTTGTCGAATATTCTTCAAATAAACCTTTTGAGGAAAGATGAGTATCACAATCACTACAAGATTATGTCAACTGGGCCCAATAAGAAATAAATAAAACGAATCTACCGAGGTTCTCAAATAATATCAAACTCTCGACAAATTGCAGATTTCTCAACTAGTTAAATAAATATATTATTATGTGTCTAAATATCATTTATAAACGGTCTTTTTAAAAGCGAGCGTTTCAACCCATGTTTGTAATTCACACTTTCTATTAATTTACTTTTTTGAAAACTGTGGCGCACTACATTTTGTGCCCCTGTAATATTTGTGGCTACTTTTTTATTATGAGGATGTCAACACATAAGTTGGGAGTTAGGAAAGGATCAAAGATTATAATCTGCCTTCAACCTAACCACTAGCGTAGTTACGTTTGCTCAAGACTCTCTTGTGCTTAATATATATTATTACTACAGTTTGAATAGGTAAAGACAGCAGCTGGTGGTACCACGAAATCTAGATACCTCCATAACGCCATCGGTCCAAGTGCTTTTTTTTTTTGGAAATATAATGACCGAAATGGGTCAACCAAAGACCGACTCAACAACTACTGAAGGTTAGTCAAGTCAGTATTACTGGTATTATTGTCGCCGACTAATCTCATCAACAACTGTAATTTGTCTTAACTAGCTGATAAAGGCGATCAAGATAACCGACCAGCAATCGACGAGAAACCTATATTAAGGGTCATAAAGAAACACACTAACTGGAAGAATGCTATAACGAAAAGCGACCTGGAGGATGCGTGCGTATTTCTATATTATGATCAAATCATTGCAGGAAGGAAACCCTCAATTTAAAAGAATTCACAAATTTTTTTAGATTTAAACATTATGACGACGTCCTGTTTGAACTTTACATGTACGAGTTGAATATGATGCGCTTCCAACGTGTTCATGACATGAATGTGTGGGAAAGGCAAAGGTATGAGTTAGAAACACAGGCGATGAGTAAGTACACCCTGATTACCCGTCTTTTTTATATGCGACAATACTTAATGTTAACTACAATTGGCTTTTTCATCCATAGTGGATGAGATCGAGGAAGCAAAAGCTGAAATAGCGGCGTTGGAAAGTCAATTAAAGGTTGAAGAGTTGAAGAAATCAAGAAAGGAAGAATATAATATATTAGCTTCAGAGATTAAACAGCATAAACGAAGAGAAGAAACGTTAAAGTGAGCAAATCCCGCACCTCCATTTGTATCGTTTTCAATACGAGATTGACTAAAATCGGTTTGAATATTTGTTTTTTCAGCGAAATAGCTGAGCTCGGCAAGGACATATTAGAGCTCGAAACAAAGGAAAAGGAACTGGATGACATTTACAAGTCACGTTTGGATAAAATAAATCAGGTGCTAACAGTAATAGCTAATGTACAAAAAGAAGCAGGATATGATATGGATGAAACTCCGCATGAACATACGCGACGAGTATCTTCATCTAATGTCGATGAGAAGAAATCATCAAAGCGATCTGAATCAACGAATGGTCATAGAAAGGAACGAGCACCTCAACAATGGGATGGAAAGGGCGTTCCTCCGTTATGGGCGATCGCGGAAGCGTCTCCAGACGTTCTAGAGGGATATGTTGCCGCTGTTAGAAAACGACGTCGTTATGACGATGATGACGATGATGACGAAAAAGAAGAAGGAGAGGTTAAGAGGAGAAAAAGCTATTTCAACTATTGAGGACCGAATCGGATTGGAGACGGACATTAACGGGACAAAACATGGCAGGCTAATTAGGAATTCCAACAACAATTTCATGAGTGTTTTCGGTGGATGCAGATGTCTGTGGCATTAATAATAATTACAAGGCCAAAGCTAGTTTCATACATAGACCATATAGTCTATCACGTCACTTTAACTTGTGTAAATTTCTAATAGAGTAATGATAGAATGTTAATAAACACGTGTGCATATAATGTTCAAGCATCTTGTTAATTTTTAGGTCTTTTGACCATGCGGATTTTATTAGATGACACATTAACATGTCCAATTTTTCATTTTTATCTATGAGCTATTAAATAGTCTATAGTTAGGTTAATACCAACGAGCATTGATCTTCCTTCGGTTGACCTACAAAAACAACAGTACGTTCCCATTTAGCATTATCCGCGTTTAATATTTCAGACGTCCAGCGTCAACAAGATTCGTACGACTTACAATTGGTCTAGTAACAGCAATTCCAATCAATAGCGCAACAATTGTCGTGACTAAGGTCTCCTTACTGAAATCTTCACTTAACACATCAAACGTTTTTGAAGGCGCTTCTCTCGTAAACCATATGTCTAGTCCGTAAGCAAGAACAAGAGAAGTCGATTCTAGTAGAGCGGGAGACGTAGTGATGTGGCGAATACCAGCAACCTAAAAAACCAAAAATTAATTCATGCCCTTGGCGAAAACGTTCAATATATATATCACTTTTGATTTTCTCCCCCCTCGGTTTTACCGTCAAGTAATAGCTCAGCATAGATTTTCTGTTATCTGGAATGGCAGGATCATAGGGAATCAACATTTCTTCCTTGTCTTCAGCAGTAAGCGTACGAGTTGGTCTGCGTGCGTCCAGAACCCGTTTGGCAATGCCGTAGACTTGGTCAGTCTTTGTAGCAACTACACAACAAAAAGTTAGTTTACAGATTTGTGCACATCAAGAGTATGTAAACGAAAGACTTTTAATTTACATAGAAATTCCCGCGTTGTGATCCCATTCTTTGTAGTCGTCACGCCAATAGCATTTATTCCATGTGGAAACATGAATGCTTTAGTATCAACGTACGGTCTCTCGTGCGAAAATGAGGAAAAGTTGGCACTAGTTAACGGACAGGTTGGCGTTAGTGTCTATTTCATCCAGGCGCGAAATAATCATTACCAATATCTGAATGAAAATGTTGCCTCACCTCTCAAATCGTTCATTCTTATGTTCGCTCTCGTACAAGTCACAGACGACTACTTGGAAGCCTTTTCCGTCTCCCTTCACCGGATCCCCATTACTCCAAAAGTGGTACAAGATGTAATTTTCGACTTGAATCAAAAACACTCGATGTATCGGACTGACATTTGCATGTACAGCATGATACAGAATCGAACCCTTGACAATATCTATCAAGTAAATACTCAAGGACTTGGGGTCTGTTGAAGAAAAAGTTGCTATGGCAACCAGATGTGGGTTCAAATACTTGTATAATACTGATCGATCTCCTAGAACGCGACCCAGGGAGGAGACTTTTTCTGTCAACAGTTTGAGAAAATTAGCATGACTGTTTCCAATATTGGAGACGTGCGGCTAGCAGAATGATTACCGTGTAAAGGGCGTTGTCCGACAGAGGCGATTGTTTCGCTAGGAAATGTTATTGACCAAATCTCATTTGCCGTAATGGTCTATAAAAGAAGGGATAATTTTTAGTACTATCAACTAATCATCTTTATTTTTCCCAAAAATACTACCTTGCCAAATTCGTTGTCCGACACTTTATAACCGCTCAGCCCATTCTCCCTTTCCAACGTAAAATAAAATGACTTTGCAAACGTTCGAAAGACTGCTTTCGATGCATTCGTGTTAGGATAGAGGGTGATCTAGTTTGACAATTAAGGTTAATCACGCTGCTTGTTTTAATAAAAACTGTTGAAGCATAAACATACTCGCCTGACGTTTTGCATCAATCAATGCGAGAATATGCGTTCTTTCATTAGGCTCTTCAATGGGTAGCTTAATAGTCTTTATAGAATTTAGTGGTAGCGAAATATCTGCTGGAAAGTCATTTCTATACTCGGGTTCAAAATCTCCTCCAGTCAACGCATTCAACCGGAACAAGCGTGTCTCAATCTCGCCCTAATTAAAGTTATAACATAGAATATCTGTCAGATAAAAACAGTCATAAAATCCCGATCAAAAATGATGCATGTTTTACATACTCCTGATGTAACCTGTTTCCCAACTACGATAATCACTGGCGGATATTTGATCATGGCAGCACGGACTACAAAAATCTTTTGCAACTCCAAGGAGGCGTAATTCAAGTATCGCGTCCAGACAATCTCGCCTTTTCTAGCAGAATCCAGCGCAATAATTTTTTTTGGTGTCACGAATACCAATATTTTTCTGAAACCATAAATGTCTCTGTGCAGACTAGCGGAATCTCCCGACTTTTTCGTGGCAATAGCCGACTTGTCATTGGTAATTAGTCGGGTAATGTGCGCGATAAGATTATCCAAAAGATCCTGTAACAAGATACGAACATCGGAACATGAGCTTTGAATTTCAAAGTAAAACAAAAGGCTCAACAGATAACGGCATGGCATACTCGTAGCTGATTAAGGTGTGTGGAAACTCGGCGAATATATCGGTTAAATGGTGTAATAGTTTCGATTTTGTCGGCATCCTCATCTAATGTTGAGTCAAATCAATAGGTAAAACTGCACACCAAAGTTTTGTATTCAAACACACATGCGCATACCAAGCTCGTCAACCTCTTGCGACCATAGTTTTTTTTCTGGTAAATCTACAAATTCTACGCCAACAGCGTGCGTAAGAGGTTCCTCTCTCTTCCATGCTATGGATGAATCCTTCCATGAATGAATCGAGCCATCTGCAGATAACAAAATCATACGATATTTGGTGCCGGGCTCATTGCAATACATGCATAAAATTGACTGTCAAGAAAAACCATTATTAGAGAATCAAATAAATAAAGAACAAAACAATCAACGATAAACTTACAGAGGTTATATATCCATAATTGGCAACAGAATGCTTGATTACTCGATTGACAATTGTTTGATGAGAGAATATTTGGACTATCTCGAGATTGACACCTTTCTATTATAAAGAAACATATGCTATTAGCCCATGTTAACCCTATAATAAATAAAAAATCTCAAGGCAAAACGTAGACCAACCGCTGCTTCGTTGAACACTCTGGAGATGTGTATTTTCCCATCACTATCAAATGCGGCAGAATAAACCGACTTTCCTTCCTAATTATAAAACAATCGGTAAACCACAACTCATCCAGTCATTAAACTTTGCCATTTTAAATTTACCCTCTCATTCATATCATGAAGTGCCAGAAATCGCCCTCCTTCCGTATCGATTTTTAATATAGCAGCGGCAGTTCCGTACTTGGTGGGAACTTCTACTAAAAATTCTGTCCTGGTTCCTACATCCAAATCAATGAATTCCAACGGACCATCCGCCGCCGCGAAGGACGGAATAACACTATTATACAGGCCCTGTTATTAATGAACCGTTAATATTACTTATCACATCTACTATATTGAAAAAACAATGGGTGCCGATGAAAATAAAATCCAAAGATGGCAAACCACAAGCGAAGCTTCAGTTGATATATCATCGCGACCAAGGCGATTGGCACGCATATTTGGCTTTTCAGTCCATATGACGAACGCTTTGAAATCTTCGGCCCCGCCAACAACTATTACGTGTTTCTCATCTTCAACTCTAGACTTTATGTCGAGAGTCTTTATCGCATCCCCGGTTACTAAGCCGTAAGTTACTACTCGAATAGAAAGATATCTGCTTGATTGTCTGACTAGCGCGACTGCATTGAGCATTAAGCCATTATCTACAATCCTCACAAATTTCGTTTGCCTTGGTTTGAAAGTTAAACACAATGTAATTAAAGGGAAGAGGGACACGTAGGCAAAAGGATCAATACAAATAAACGTTTTTTACTTATTATGGTCGTTATTGTTGACCCAAGCCTTCTTCCCGTCATTGAGATCAAACTTTACCATGGTCAGACTGTCTAACAAGATTGCGATTGAAGGTTCATTCCTCAAAAAAACCACATCAGCCTTCTTTAGTCTGGTAGCCTCGTCAGTTTTTTTGATTATATTCTCCCATAATAATTTGCCCGACAGTCCGTCCCACAGACGAATGATATAATCAACAGCAATCGAGACAGATAAAACATCTGTCATAAAGTAACAAAGATTTCAGACAATAATTAAGAAGAACCAGAAAAGACTGTGCATGTAGGCTACTCACTGTCTTTGTCCGCTTTCAAGCCTATTATTTCCTCACGTTCGTCGAGAATCTGCCGCCATGCTAAATGAACATTCATAGTAGAATTAAGTGAATGCCAGCTTATAGACGTTGACGAAACAACATATAATCAAATACATTCTTACTTATGTTGCCATTTGTTGGATTTAATGCGGCAACAACACTCTTTTCTGTAGCCACTAATGCGACTAATTTGCTGTTTGATAGCTTGTGGAAAAAGGAAATCGTTGGTGTGCCAATATATTGATGATGCCAGTCATTAACTCCCGTTTGACTCTCGTACAATGCATCAACGAAATTCACATTCACTAATCCTATAATGGATAACAGCACAATTGCGACTATCTTTCCTAGCCTCATTGTCGTTTATGATAAACAAAGGGACGTGACTAGGAACTGAATGCGCGCGTAATATGTCAAGTGTGTGATCAGGAAAAAGCAAAAATTGTTTCACGGAATAATGTACAGTTTGACGCACGTGATTGGATGATCTCTGTTCTTAGGCTACATTGTTTAACTTTTACGCCTTTTAGAATAAATGCAACGTTTTCCATACGCGTGGTAACAAAAGTCTCAGTATCTGATATTGCAAGATGTAGCAAACTGCACTCTGTGAACTGCACGTTAAACCTGATAGTAATTCAATGCGATAAGAATAATTTCAGGAAAATACGGTTTATTGTAAATTCACTCCTTCGTTGTCAAGACAAAAGTCATGAATATACCCATGGTTTTAACATGGCAAAATAAAGTTTCATGTGGTCTTATACTGTGCACAGCTCAGTCAATAAACAAAACGATTCTCACTGATTCCTAGTATCGGTATGCACAGTATGCAAACACAATGACGTTATAAAGTAAAATTTTTTCTGTTAATTCAAAAGCCATCAATGTCGGGTAGTTTTGAATCGGCGATTGCTGATCTTATTTGTTGGCTATGTACACTTGGTTGACATTTAATTACTCAGATGGCTGAACTCTATTGTCAATGTTTTCTATTCATATAAAAATAAGTATTAGAAGTATAGGCGTTACAAACAGCTCTGCGTTCATTTATCAAACTTACCTAACCATGCTAGAAAATAATCGTTAGAGTGAGCGACATGTTGGCCAGGTGATTTGTATGTTTCTGTAAGCGCGCGTAATAAAATTGTTTACAATTCTGTCCAATCAAAATCAATTCATATAATTTTCACACACACTTACTATTACTGTTAAAATAGTTTAAAAGGCCCAAATTCTTATCCAAACTTTCCAGACCCTCGGTTTTATCTTCCCATTCATTCTCACTCAACTCTGTCAGTTTGATCTTCTTACTCTCATACATCTTCCTTATTTTGTCATACTCTACGCTTCCGTTGACACCCCGTTCAACTTCTAATAAGACGTTGCGCTCACCACAACCAACAGCTCCGTTTCCCTCTACTTCTCTACACCAGCGATCTAAAATCTCAAACACCTCTCTTGCACCTGGTCTATACGATGCTGGATCACACCAACATTTCTTCATTAGATTGATAAAGCACCCCGGAGTGTATGGAGGAATTCTTGGACGATATCCGTCACAAATGTCAAGAAGAAAATTATCGGGCGTGAGAGTGGGTGATAATAACGAAGAGTAGTATGGCGGAAAGAGAGAAACTAGTTCAGACATTAGGATACCGAGGCTGTAAATATCTGAGTGTGAAGATGGGTGATTTCCGCGAAGAATATCAGGCGAAGTGTATGGAAGTACTCCAATCATTTCGTCACGTGTCGCGTAAAGTGATAAGCATGAAGCATAGTGGTCACTGTCGTCAAGTGAAAGACTATCGTCTTCGGAAGACTCTATTTCCTGTTTAAAAGAAAGATCACCGCTCGCATTATCGCATGTCTCTACTTCTCCTGCTGCGTTTTCGGTCCCCCTCGCCCAAGTCTCCTGGTCCACGCATCCTTCAACTCCCCCGGCCCCCAAATCTCCCAATATCCAGTTATCCTCGTTCCCATTATTGTCACGCAATATGTTTTTGGGATGTATATTGCCATGTACCATTCCTGCCTTGTGAATGTCTACTAACGCAGATGCAACGGATCTGATAATTTTTAAGCGGTTCAGCCAGGAAAGGTTGGTCTCTGGGTTTGGAGAATAGAGAAAGGAGCATAGGTCTCCACGGGGAAAGTATTTCATTACTAAAAGTATGTCATTTGTGATGGGGTCTATTGATAGTCCGTAGTAGTAAGATGTTTGATTCGGACATGCTGTCAGTCCTTTACAAAGCTGAGGATTGTAATGTCTAATTTGTAAGCAAGGCTATCTTCGTGATTAAAATGTATCTACTTTGCACCGACTTTACCTTGTTTAATCCCTTCTCCATGACGCCTCTCCATCCGTCCAATCTCTTCACACAAACTTCTGTCTCACCCTCCCTAACCACGCATTCGTTCCCATCTTTATCTATTCGGACAATCTTCCTTCCGTCCAACCAGATGCTTCGCGCAACAGAACTAAACTCACCCGACGCGAAGTAGGAAATTGATTTCAATCTATTATATGGAATCCATTCAAAAGATGGTGGTGTTGGGGAAGAAGATAGGAACTTGAAGAAGCGGATTAGGTTGGTAGGAGGAAGGGTGGAAGACGGTGTCATAATAATAAAGAGATCTTTTGTATACGTATGAAACGATGAGTAAAGTCGTCTCGGTTTTTCTTCTGTTTTTTGAATGTTGATACTATTTAATGTTACACGCTGCAGTATCGATTCGAACGCTAGTCTATATCTAGAATAGTTTGTGTATTCGATAAAACGACACGCATTTATATATTAGTTCAGAGTCTGTTTTCTTCATATGATTTTCGTTTATGTGTAACTGCTTCGATTATGCTGTATGAAGAATAGAGTATATTCGTCGATTGCCATGTAAAATTCACAACAAATAAAGGGATGCGTAAATTACATGAATGACAGTGAATCGTTAGTTAATAGTAATATTCATTCTCATGGTTGGCTCGCACAACAGCGATAGTGTACAACGAACGTGCTTACAGAGAGAAAGACAAAAGACACGTGTGCATAATACAGATGGTTTATCAAGATTGTATCCATGTCAGAATGTCAGAAAACAAGTTTTAACGTTTTGTAGATTCTAGTTTAACAGTATACGTTGTTATGTAATTGTTTGCTTGTGATACTGAAAAAACTGTAAACAAACCCTTCACGCGGAGACCATATAAAGTAGTAATTCGTTACACTGCGTCAAGAGCGGTTTTACGGAATGATGTTATTTCAAAAAAGTTTAGAAACTTGCAAAATTTGGTATCGGATATTAAAGATTTATTCTGCTTGGAAAATTTCTTATCAACAGAACAAATGTTGGAAGAATAATTTCACATTGTAACGCTAAATATTAACGTTTCCCGATTTGAAT